TTTGAGCCAGGGCAGAGCAGTTTACGCCTGGGCCACTCCTGCCCTGCCCGCCACAGGCTCCGCATGGCGATGTCAGGTGGTGAAGGGGCTGGCTGAGATACGAGGATGCTGAAAGTGCAGAGTTGTGTGGCTAGGAGGCAGGCAGGAGTCTGGCCCCTGGCTGGCTAGGCTGATTGGGCACAATTTACACTTGCGGTCAGCCGTTACACATGTGTTTAACTACAGTAAATGACTCCACCATAACTATGTCATGGCGGAGTCAGTTACTTTACCAAGGCCTAATACTGTTGCATGTATGTACGGTGATGCTTTACTCCACATCTAATCAGTCTACTCCACAGTAAAGTGCATGTGTAGAGGCAGCAGTGTGAAATGAAATTGTGCCCTTTAACCAGGGTGGAGGATAGGAACCAAAGTCTGGGCCTTTCCTGCCTTCCTTTTGTTAAGGGTCAGGCTCTCAAGGTCTTTGCTCATGTTGAGTAGGACCTTACTTTACCAGGAGCTTCACTGATTTCAGCCAGACTTTGAGCAACAAGAGGCTACGCAGCATGCATAAGGTACCAGAACCTGATCCAGAATGTGATCCCACCCATTCCTCCCCCTCCAGCTTTCATGCCCAGAGCAAGAAGTTCAGGCTGCATTAAAAAGAGAGTCAATTTCTATATGGTGACTTTCCTGAGTTCCCTGACTGAGATCACTTGCAAGATGCAAGGAGAAAGCTGTGCTCTCTATAGTACCAGCTCCCAGTTTCTGACAGGAGCATCAATTGAGAGCAGTTTAATTCAAAATCTAAAGCCCCCAAGAATTAGACACTTCCAGGACCCACACTTCAACATCAGATGTGACTTTCTGTTGGCTTTGCCTATACCTTGGACTGAAACGTTCATCAAAGAGACAGAAGCTTTTTGTTTTGGGTAAAGGGAAATGTGGTGATTTTCTGTTGAATTCCCTCGCTAATTGCTACTCCTCTCCGACATAGTGGTTTGGGATATTTCTGTCGGGTTTCCCACTCGCTGCTTCTGGATTACTGTGAGGACATGGGAGATGGCAGAAATTGGGGTCATTAAATGGCCTTTATTTTAGAGCAAGTTCTTCCCGCTGCCTGGGTGCAAAAACAATATGCAATAGCAACGGGAAACAAAAGGGTAAGAGAGACCTCAAAACACAGGGCAGAGCTTGAGAATCTGGCATCAGTGAGCTGGTAACCCCGGCAGCCCAGTGCTGAATGCTGCCAAGGCAGGAACTGGGCTGGGAAATCTTGGCACGTCCTTTACTAACAGCCTCCCGTGTGAGGAGTCAGCCTGGGTTAGACAAGTTCACTGCATGTTACATGCAAAACCAACTGGGTGCATTTCAAGACACCCTTTAGCAACTTAGATATCCAAGGTAAGGCAATTATAAGGTCAGTGCAAAAAATATCACTCCTCTATGTTAGTTAGGTACGCCACTGTTCACCATGACTATTATGACTAGCGGGAACCTAAAGGAGAACTACCCTAGACAGCTAGCATGGGCTCGGAGCCAGTGGTATTTCCCCTGGGTCCTCCGGAGCTGTTGGTATATCCGCAGGTACAGTGCAGTGTATAGGAGAGGGATTTGCAGACATCCCCAGTTAATCTGACTGAAATGAGAGCTCCCGTAATTGGCTATGGGAAAGGATATTGATGTGAATTACCATGATGCATGAAGCCATTATTGCAGAGTCCAACACCCAGCGCGACGGCTTCCTCCCGAGTCTGACAGTCTCCCTAGAAACAGAAGGATAAATATTACACCTCAGACAACTTCCTCATCTAAATGATTTCCCTTCCCTGCAATATGGCTTGCGGCTCTGAAATTAGCAGGGTGCTCTGTGTAGAGAACAATAGCAAGCAATTAAAATAGGCCTCCCTTTGCCTAAATCCTATTCATTCCTATATATAGCACCTCTTCCGTCCCACAGGAATTGGGAGGACAAAGACCAGGCCTCTGGAAAGCAGCTGTTTTACCACCACAGATGCATAATATTACCTCAGTGTAGAGACTTTTTTCTTTTCTTTTTTTGTTCCTTTTTTTTTTTTTTTTTTTTACCAGCAATCACAATAAAGTCTGAGTTCAGTTCCCATTAGCCACAGACAATAAAACCCATTCTCAGGAAGAGAGAGAGATTTTATCTACACTCAAGTCAAAGGAGAAAAACCTTTCTGTGCAAAACCAGCCAGAGTGACTGCTCAAAGGTCAGATTAATTAAACTTCTATGTTACTCTGTTTTTCATATAGCCAGACTTGCAAACAAATTACTCACTCATCATCTGAAGCTGTCAAACCTCCATATTTCAACATAGGTTGCAAAACATGATCCAGTGGGCACGTCTACACGTGCACCCGACTGAGCAGTTGTTACTGTGGCAGTCATTTAGTACTTGCTTTAGCAGTAACCGCCGGTACTGCACAGTCCCACCACACAGCTCATTTCCGACCCTACTGCGCAGGAGCAATAAGCTACTATGCAGTAGCTCGTTGCTAGTGTACAGTAGCGGCAGGCTCACGGTTCATGCCTGCCGACACTACATCGCTGTAGTGACAAGCTGTGTTGCCATAGCTTGCTGCTACAGCGATGCAGCATCTCATGCAGATGCACCCAGTGTGCAATAAAATGAATGCACAAAACTGGCTAATCACAATAAATGCCCAATGTTTGCCTGTGCAGCTGCTCTTGCATGGCCACAAAGGATGCTTTCTGCTGGTGTCTTCTGGTCACTGCCAGATCCTGCACAGTGCTGAGCATGGCCTGCAGCTCCACTGAAGCCACACAGAACTGCAGGAGTTCAGCAGCTCTCAAGATCGGGTCCTTGCAGAGGGCCCTTTGGCTCTTAACTCTTACCATTTCAAGGAAACCAGGACAGGAACGAACAGTGAATGACTAGATTCTAGCCTGCAGACCTTACCCAGGTCAGGTACACAGCAAAATTTCCCACTCCCAAGGCACCCCCTCTGCAATAAGTTAAGAATCAGTGTTATGGTTTGCATATATTCCCATTTTCCTGACTTGGGGTGCAGATACTTCAGCAAGTTTTAAACTGAAGAGATCAGGCATCACATCAGTACTGGTAAAGCTGTGGCAGCACAGAGCTTAATGAAGGCTTCAACACCTGCACAGTAAGCCAGGAAAAAACTTGGGTGAGCCGTGTGCAGCCATGGGTAGACTGCTCTTGGTATCCAAGGTGTCACAGTGATGGAGATACACTCTTGTTTGCATTTGGGCTCCCCACCTATAGCGACTGCATGACTCAGCCACTTTTGGACTGAAAGAAAAAGACATGATGCCTGCAAAACAAAAAGCCATGTGTGTGCCTGCCAGAAAACAGTGTGAATACTCCAGGGTCAGTCCATGTCTGTAACACGGACAGCCAAGTAGAGAGTATCAATAAATGAAGCTCAATTTTTACTAAAAATTAATTCCAAAGCTTTGCAAATGCTTCAACATCCTGCAGCGTGACAACTCTCAACACTTGCTATGAGCTATTTTAAAGAACAAATGGAGAATGTATTAGACACAGACTTAACAACTAATTTAATCCTCCAACTGAGAGTAATTTGAAGGGGAAATGTCTTCTGACACCATTCTTAAATTAGCCGTTGGGAATCTGGTTCTCTTGCAGGCAACTGCATACTGAAATGTCTGTGTGGTAAGATGGTCATTCTCAACGAAATAAGCTCAGCTTCAGAACACATCCCTTGCAGACATGTTCCTTTTAATTTTAGGGAGTTAACTAAAAAACTGAATATTACAGATCCTTTGTATGTGTTTCTAAATATTATGTGACTCTCTCTCCTAATGTAATGAAAGCAGTAATGTCAAGTAATAAAATCTTAAAGGGCACTTAACAATCTATATATACTTCTCTATAGATGCTATATGTTTTTTCCTCCAGAAATGGCATGCAAAACTTAACACACCATGGTTTTTCATCAGTTTTGAGCAAACGTAATTAATGGATGATTCAATAGAGTTTCACAGCTGGTAACTTAAATTTGATGTGACACAAAAGAGGACAGTTGCAAGGGGAAGAGTGAGAGGGTCAAATCAATTGGCTAAGAGAGTCATTTTTGCAGCAGTACTGTGCTTACCATTCTAGTAGGGGTGCATATAACAGCTGGCTATCAGCTTCTTTTGGTCATTGTAGCTGATAATTACAGCCGTGTGTCCAGAGCACCCTGGTGAGTGTAGTCCAGTCCCTGTGCCCCACCGCCAGCCTGAGCCCACGACAGACTAAAGATCCTGGAGAGCAGTAGGAGAGGATGCTGGGGAGCAGTTACAGGGTGCCATGCTCAGCAATAAAAGGACTGCTCCTGCCCTGGCAACACCGTGCGCTCAGCAGGGGCCTGAGCACCAGGGCTGCCGTGGAGATGTTGGGCTGCACACTGGTGGGGTAAGGCGCCTTTGCAAAAGTGGCTTCTCCCCGGCAGCCATGGGAGCTCAACTGTATGGGGCCTGCTGGCACTGAGGCAGCATCATGCTCTGGGCCTCCAAACATGCCTGATGCTGCTGTCCGCACAAGTACCACCCTGCCCACCCAGGATGGCAGCACGGGCTGAACAGGGCTGCAGGTAGGAGCCATGGGCGAGGGGGCAATGTGCATGGGAATAAGGTAGTCAGTCACCACCTTCTTCATCGAGGACTGAAGCAGGCAGGAGGTGTACATGCGTGTGTGTTTGTGAAATGCAAAACCAAGAAAAAAGTTTATTTATGTCAGTAGGTTAAAATGCCTTCCACTGTTACTATTGGTTATCAGATCAGCATCGGCCAATCATCGGCTATTGATACTGGCCAAGAAACTCTTTATTGGTGCAACCCTACATTCTACCCTTTGCTTTCAAACCTCCTAAGCTAGCCTTACATTTGGTGTTCTCAGGGAAAGTCTGGCTGGAAGTGTGTGGATCAACTTGTGGTATATTAGCTCACGTCACCTCTGGGGATTTTGATTCAAATTCTGACTCGGGTCACAAGTGAATTAGTTTTGGCAGGCCCAATACAGTCTCTAATGCAGTCCTGTAATAATCAGACAATCATTTCACAGTACTGCAGACTGATTAGGAATGCCGAGCTGTGTGTTTATTTTTAGGACATCCACAGCTTATTGAAGTCAAATTCAAGAGCACAGTACCTGCTAAAACTAGGACACTTATCTCGGCTGGGACCCCCTGGGAAGCCATGCTCTACCTGAAGAAGAAACATATGCCAGCTCCAGGCTATCTAATGCCTAAATGCAGATTTTTGGCTTGCTGCACCAGCCACCTGATGACCTGAGTTGACCCAGAAACACCGTCTCCTGTAAGGAAATGATGTGCTTTGCTGATACTGATTTCCTCCACCGCCACTCTTCCCCCCTCAGTTGGGGAAGTGGCTACTTGTACAGACTGATAGTACATTGCTTATGTATTGTACAGGAAAGCTCTATGTTGGCTTGAGGAAAGGATGGTATGGATAAAGAGAATGTAGGCATACATATAACAAACTTATTTGTCATTTTATACCTAAGTGCATGCACAACAAAAGCTCTTCTCTTCAACAAAGATGCAAATGCTAGGCCAGATTTTTGGCTGGTATAGACCAGCATTGTTCTATGAAAGTCGATGAAGGTACGCTAACATACAGCAGCTGATCCAACGGAGCCAGTGTGCACCACCAAAGTTAAGGTGTTTGACCAAGAAAAAGGCACTTGGGCAGAGTGTCCTTGAATGGCCTCTAAGGGCCTCCCCTAGCTGGGGTAACTCTGAGTAGTCCTGAAGAAATTCAGAGTGGCTTTTAGCTGATCCCAGGATTGGGTGGCTGTAACAATAGACACCTTTGCCCCAATCCCTCTCTTTTTATACTTTACTGGTGTCATTTATCCTTAACTGCCATTCTACTGAGTCTTTGGTAGTTGATTATTTTCTTGTAGGCACCTTGATAAAAATAGCTGTTGACCAGATATTTGGAAAAGCAAGTGCTGTTATAGATCAGTTGAGGTAGGATGTACCACATACAGGTGATAGTGTAGAAGAAACACATGATTATGGGACAACAAACTATGATTATGGGAACCTCTTCCTTGCTGATACATTGGTATTAAGATTCCACCCATTGCCAGAGCCCTGACTCTTGTCCTGGGGCCTGTCTGGTACTTATCTCCCCTCAGCCAGATATCAACAGAAAGTCAATGAGGTTGGATGATGAAGGGTCTACTGGTTTACCTACATAAATGCCTCATGGCCCTTCAAGAATTATCTTTAAAACTGCTTGAGGCCATAATAAAACTCAGAGCCTCTTTCAGCACAATTCTGGAATCTAAAAGGCATTTCTCCTTCCGGGCCGGGCCTGCTTAGGCTGTCTCCCTCACACTGTTCACAGGGTCACCCGAGAAATGTCCAGTATAAGTTAAGTTACAACAATGTCCATTTTCAGGAACTGACCCCATGACACTGAAAGCGACAAACACCTCTATCTTCCCATCAGCACTTGTGCTGGAATTCATCTCCCTCCATTGTCACAGATTCTGGTGTGTTTTTGTGTCTGATGCACAAAATGAAGTCGACCGAGAAGAAATCCAGCCATCGTAATCAACGATAAATACAACAGAGAAGTCAAGCAAGATCTGCATTATATCTCCAAGTCCCGAGGAATTTCCTCAGGTGGCCACTCCCACATAAGTACTCTTACGGTGCTATACATGCAGCACTAGTTTTTCATGGTGCACACATTAACAGGCCAGAGATGCTGAGTCCTTACATATCCATTGACATCAGTGGAGCCACAAGTGCTCTGCCCACCTGATAAACAGGCCTATCCTGTTTATCAGATTCAGAGTAGGTGACATATAAGGGATTATTATATGTATCAAATTTAAAAGAACACAAGGTTAAGTGTCATTCAGGACCAAAATGAATTTAAATTGACAAAGGCACGAAAATTTAATATGCCCCGGGTAGGGCTCAGGGTCTCTCATAGTAAAAATATATGTTTTTTCCTTGACAAGAAAAAGAACTCTTACTCGTCTACATTGCAGAATCTCCTGAATAGTTGTAAGGGCCAAGGAAATGAAAAACAGCCTTGTCTATTACTAAAAGCTCCCCCAGACTTTTCCAACCCAAATCACAAACAGAAGGCAACCACCATCCTTCAAAAACTCTCTTGAGTCATCCAATTTTAAGAAAACAATGATCTACTCTTTTCTTACAGTATTTGTAAACCAAACCATGATTTTCTACGTTAAAGTCATGTTACAGGTAGTTTGTCAAAATTAGAAAGTACATTTATTCAAAATGTCTCTTTTGTGACTGTTTAGTTACGAAATTATATTACATACCTCAGCCAATCTCTTAAAAACTAGTACATAAAGTTAAACTCCATAACCAAGAAACTAAAGAAGTGGGTCGACTTTTCAAGAGCTAACTACTGAACAGCTCCCACAGCAACCAGCAACTACTAAATCCAAGCATGGTCAGCCTGGTGTAAAATCCCATACTATGACCATGCTTTTTAAGACTTTAGAAGCAGAAATCTGATTCAGTTACATAAATGGGAGTTGGAATGAACCCTAGATGCAAAAGTGAAATATTGGAAATGTTCTCATTGGTTAATTGTCTGCTAACTAGAGTTTTTCCTCCTCTACAGATATGTGAGTAAATATATGTGTACAAAGGTACATATCCATACTCCTATTCCTGGCTTTACACATAGACAATGCAATCCTAATGCATGAGGTGTAAAGGAAAGTTCAGTGAACAGCAAATCTCAGGCTGAATTAATCTACCCAAATGAGGAAAAGGCGGGGGGGGCGGGGAAGACGTAGATCTGAAGGAAATCAATTATTTATTTTGCCATTTGAGTCCTCATCTTGCCTACAGCACTGTAATTAGCTAAAATCAGGCCACATTAGACTGATTCAATCTCAGCTTTTTGACCACAGGAGCCTCCTTTTTCTCAGCTTTCCAATAAGTGGACCCTGTGTAGCCACATGGAACAGATCTGACAGCTGCAGCTCTACTATACCTGCTTTTCTCTTTTCTTCAACAGGCAATGAATAGCTCACCCAGCCCCCCTCCCCTGCTGTCCTATGATAACTGAAACCATAGACTGCGTCTTAAATCACATTTGTTTTACTAACATAAAAGATGTCAAGTACAATTTTAGGGAATGTTTCTGAAGAAGAACATTCCTGATTCTCAGGAGACCAAGTCTCATGCATGCTAAGGCCCTGATACATTGCTCGGGTAAAGCAGAATGCAAATAAGTCCGACCTAACATTGACATCTTGAGGATGAAAACAGAATGTACAATCTGATTGTGCGATGAAGAACCACACTGTATCCTCCTTGTTAGCTTGCACTGACCGATTGAAACAAGATGGTAAATTCTTTGGTTGTGTCCTTTCTCCCAGTTTCACAAGGATAAATATGGCATAGCTGCAGTTTCTGAAGGCAATGAGATAGAGTCTGTCCTTATTTATCATGGTATAAATGGTGTAACAACTCAATTTCCACCGAAGTTACACTACTATATCGCTCCACTAGTGTAAAAATCTGTCTGCGCCTTCTAATCACTCACTCTATTTCATACTCTGCTTTCTTCACATCCTTTCACAGCATCTGGTGAAGTAAGTGCACTTTGGTTTATGAAAGCTTGTGCTCTACATATAGATCTTATTTAGTCTGCAAAAGTGCATATCTACCCTACTTTTTGTGTGCCTTCACAGTCCTAAAAGTTAGAGGTGAAAAAGACCTATGAGAGCATCCAGTTTATCTAGTATTCTCCTCCTCTGTACAATGTCAAGCACTGATTTGGCACCAATAGGAATAACAAACATTCAAGTACAAGAAGTCTTTACATCCCAATTTTTTTAAACACATCCTGGTGCTGGCTCGCTATGCCACTGTTTACTCTCTTTAAAATGTTTGACAATGCAGAAATATTGTTGAGAAAATCAAATAAATGTCAGTGACAGTATTAAACATAATGACTACTGTTTCTTTACATTTCCTTACCTGTGCAATCAGCCAATCCACTAGTTTACTGGCAGGGATTACTGACTTGTAGGTCTTCAAGTGGTAGTCTCGGTCTCTGAATCAGAAAGAGATTTAAAGAAATATTAGTATAAAAAGGTATACATTTCTGTTAGACTGGATAACTAATTCCTATATTTTATGCAGGAAGAAGAATTATAGATGGAAAAAACCTATGAGGTTAATTCATCCATATTTGATCTGTGCAGCATTGCAGATAACAGAATACAATTAAAAAGGCAGAGGATCTTTTTTCTCAAATAATAAAGGAAGGACTGAATTTAAAGTAGGGACCTCTCATAGCCTGGATGAAAAAACCCATTCCAAGCCAACAGCAGATACACATTTCTGATCAAATTTTTTCAAAAGTTCAGAAAACTGGGTTTTGTTTCAAGCACTCCCCAATGGGGAGAAGACAAACAGGAACATGAGAGTGGAAGAGCCCTCTGGGATCATCAGTCCTGTCCCCTGTTATCACCAGTTACCACATCTCGTATAATTCCTTTCACAAATCTGTCAAGCTCCACTAAAAATAGTGAGGTTTATTGCTAATGTTCTCAAGCCTAATTGCTCAGATGGTTAGAAACTTTATTACAATTTAAATGTAGTCGCATCTTGTTTTTATCCTTTTTTTTTTTTGTTGGGTCAGCAATGTCCATTAGACTGAAATTCCTTCTCTTTCTCTTGTGTTTGTGAAGCCCAATCTCATTCCCTCTCTGCCTTCATTTTGCTAAACTAAACAAGCTAAGTTCTTCTAGTCTCCTCATCTATGGTAGGTTCTCTCCTTTTCCCTTATTTTAATAACCTGTCAAACGTATTCCGGTTTGAACTCATTTTTCTTGAACGTGGGTGCGCAGAATTGCAGGCAGTGTCCCTGGTACAAGTATACTTCTATGATGTTCTATGATGTACAGACAGTTTTTCATTCTTTTGTTCAAAAAGTGATATTGCCACTAGTTAGACTTTCTAATATAGAAGTACTTGTTCTCTTACAATCCTTCCCTCATCTACAGCACCATCATTTGTGAAACACATTTATAAATCATTGCTTCTTAGAGGTTTGCCCTACCTTGTTTCGAGATCATAGTGGAGATATTGATGGTTTAGCATGGCTGGAGAATTATACAAACGCTATGCAACTCTAGAGCAGGAAGGATTAAGTAGCTCAGGACAGCAGGCTATAAAGATTTCCACCTCCTAGGTCCTGGCCCTCACCCAGCCTTTGATAGTAGCAGATTAAAACAGTTGCCATTTTATGGCTACTCATGGGCCCTGTGAAATGAGCTTGGGGATCTTGATCCAGTTCCTAGTTCCACATTACAAAAGCCATTACCATAATTAATTTGCATGAAGTGGCTCTCTCTTGTTGACCCTTTCTGCGGAAAGGCCAAATACTGAATGAGCCATGGAGAATGAATTCCCCTTTCAGTTGTAGCAGTGATCCTTCCCATCGAAGCTTGAGGTCCACTGGCAAAGCTGTGGGAGGGAACCTTTTGCAGGCCCTGCCCGGAGATAACTGTTTTGTAGCTTAAGGAAAGACTTCAGTTTTCCATTGTCAGCCCGGCCTCTTTCATTAGCAGCAAAACAAATGAATTAAAAAAATATAAAAGGGAGAAGGAAAAATCTAAAATTGAACCAACAAACACAATTCATCCTGCCCAGGTTTTTCTTTTTGCTGGTCACCTACAAATGTGATCGTGCTGTGTTTGCTTCTTTTAAATTAATTCAGCAAAAATGCCTGTGTGTTCGCATATAACCCAGAGAGTGAGAAATTAGAAAGGGAAGCAGCACTTCCAGAACTTCAGAACAGCGTGATGGCGTTTCCAGATGTACATGTCCTCAGAACAAAAAATTATCTCTGTAGTGCTTACACACAGTTTTTGGCCCTTCTTCCAGTAATACGCTACGTCCAGCACAAAGCTGTGGGAGTTCTCAGGGCAGTTTCTCCCTCTCACACTCTTATCAAAAGAAAATGTGCTTTTGAAATGTCAGAACAATAAAAAGAGCATGAAAATATTGAGGGCTAATGAGCAGGGGTTTCCAAATTGTGCGAGGCAGCTCCTAGCATTTTAATATTAGCGCTGACATACTAAGAGAGCTTTGAAATCAGGATGAATGAGCTAACATTTTACTGGCACTGGGATCTTGGTCCAGGGCCCAGTCATTCACTGCTTCTAGTTAAATGCTTGTCAGGATGGATGTTTCAGCATTAACTCACTGACTTTCTCTACCGATTTAGTTAATACGAACTGAAGGCTGAAAACCAAGCACAGTGTGCTACTCAGGCTCAACAACTGCAGGTGAGGCTAATAAACGAGTGGCCACAATATGGAAACATACCTTGAACGTGTACCAGAAGCTCCCTGCTTCAGCCAAGCTAAAGTAGCCCAATGCTCATCATTGTCTCCTGCCTAGATAAACAGGGCAGCATTGTCTAGCACTCACAAATTAGAGCCTAGGCAGCATACGAGTTCTCCTGTCCTGACAACCATCATTGTTAATTAAGCTGCCTAGTGAAAGTCCTTCATAAATCTACTCATTTTCTGCACAGGTTGCTTCCATCGCTATACAGCTTTTATACCCCAATGTTTCAAGCCCAGCAGGCTTCCCTCCATGTTAAAAACTAAGGCCTGCCATGAAAATGGGTTCCACCAACAATGACAGCAGGAACTGTGAGAATAGTAGAGGATGCCACACAAAGTAATGATCCAAAACGGGTACTAGATTAATGCGCTACTGCTTGGTTCCAAGAAGCTGCCTCCAAGATGAAGGACATAAGCATGGAAAGCACAGGTCCATTACGAAGAGGTGGAAGGAAGAGCCTGTTGGAGGGCCAGTGACATAGGGAGAAGAGTCTGTGTGTGTCAAAGACAGAAGACTGTCCAACGGGAGCCCAGAAGTTTTGAGAGGCTGTAATTTTTCATGGGTCATCCAGTTTAAAGACACCCCTGTCATTAATATTGACAGTCCCGAATGGAATAGAGAATCTTCTCAAAGCAAAAATAGTGCATTGTTAAAATGCCACAAGATGGGTCTGTAGTGGTGGTTGTTTTCTTCCTTGCTGATCACACACATGAGACTGCTGCATGTAATAAAATCCCTCTCATGCTGCAGGCACCCCAGGGTCAGTGACATTTTTCTCAGCCTGACTTACCACTTTCATTTCCTGCTTTACATATGAATTACTGTCTTAATGGCTGAAGCCTACACATGCACACGCACAAACACATATACACATATGACCCAGAACTGTCCCTCCCAGAGTAATTGTGATTTCAGCTAAGTGGAAGGAATTATGATTGATTAAATGTGTCTATGCTGCGGATTCATTTAGCAAGACAATGGCCTATCGTCTGTATTGGAACATCTGCCGAGCAACTCAAGAACAAGAAATCAACTCTAATCAGACCTACCATATATGTTCTTCTGGGGGGTAGGGTGTTATTTCCGTCACCAAATTTTGTGAACCTTAAAAAATGGTTCCCATGACACTATCCAATTCTCAGTCACAAGCAGCTGAAAAGGACATCCACATTATTCATAAAGGGGATGATACAGTCAGTAAGTGCAGATTTTCCATCACAGGGAGATGGAAGGAAGAGCTTCCTGGAGGGCCTACGCAATGCACTGACATTTGAAAATCTTGTCTCCTGCATCTGGGTAGCTGGTTAGATAGTCAACTAAGTTAGCTTTCTTTTTCCTGAGCTGAGTTTTCTTTGCCTAAAAGCACTTCTTTTAGACTAGGTTCCTGCAGACTTCAAAGAGGGTTTTGACTTCAGGGCTTGTCCCATGGTGACTTCTTTTATAAGCCCATTGGTTCAGCCTCTGGATAAATCTACATAACTTAGGCTAGGAACAGATGCTGCATTTGTCCTGGAGTAAGCTGTGCCTGTGTTTATTCCAAAACAGAAAAGTCCCAGGATTGAGGTATATACACTTCGCCCCTCCAATCGGGGTTTAGTGAGAGGCTGAATGAGCTGCTGCTTTTCTGCATTGATTCAATCCCAGGACAACTGTTTAGACACACTTTGAGATGTCCTAAGACAAATGTTTAGCACTTCTTATCCCATGACCCTTTTTAGGGTTTGTCCCAAGACAATGGACATGGATGTCAGAGTGATCACAATTAGTCCTAGGGCAAAAATGGTTTCTCTCAGGATAAATGCAACATCTGTTTGTAGCCTTAAATAACAATAAAACAAACAACTCAACAACCCCCAACCATGTCTGCCCTCCACAATCTACTATGAATCACTAGCCACTTATTAAAACCACACTGGGTTTTATCCCTTCTGGGATAAATAAATGGACCTATGTCACACTATGAAGGTCACTAGGTTAAGGGCTGGGGTACACGGCAGAGAGAATGAACCCCAGAGAAAGTCCCTGGATGTATTCCTACAAAGTTCAGTTCTTGGCTCCTTCAGCAGCAGAATATCGGCTAGTCCCAGCAGTGGGAATAGGATGGCATTATAGGAACCTCAATAATCTGGGCAAACTGTTTTATTATACGTTGCAGAGAAATGAAGTAAGAGTTAAAATGTCGGCCTCTTACCCCTTTAAAAAAGGCAGCTACAATATGCAAGGAAGCCGTGAATGTAAACTTACTTTATCACTGGAATGTAAAGACTGTGCAATCGGCAGTAGAGCCTCACACCCTAAGGGAAGAGACAAATGAGGCATTATAATGTTTTACCAGATCGAATAGGTGTTAAAAGCCATGCTGAATAATTATTGCTACACCAGAAATGCAGCAGCATGGATATGGATGGCATCTACTCATTAGGAATTAGATTTCCCAATATTTCTAGGATCCTCTCCTCTTCTCTCCCCTCTAGCACCAACGGTGTTTCCTCCTCCTCCCCCATTGCCAACACAGATGTTTCAAACCTGTTCTCCACAACCAGCCCCCTTCTCTTCAGCAATCCAGTGTGCACATGCTATGGTCGTTATCTTTGCCCATCAAGGAGTTTACCGGATGCTATGATCTTTGCCCATCTATGCTATGATCATTCTCTTTGCCCATCTTTTTATCCATCTCCTCCATCTAAACTTTCTTTGTCGTATCCAGTAAGGATGTCCATTCATAATGACCAAATGGAGGTCACTGCAACTCGCATTAAATAAATATAATTACCAGAAAAAAAGCTGAGTATGTACATGCCCATGATACATTACCCCCCTTGTGAAACCATTATGGTCAGATCCTCAGCTGGCGCTGGTTGGCTTATTGTGGTCTTGCAGAACCTACTGCAACCACAATATAAGTAAATAATCATTTATCATTGGGTTCTGCTTCCTCTCCCTATCCATGAGCTAGTCTAATGTAGCCTGAAAAAATGGGAGATGTGAAGAATGAGGAAGACAGAATGTCTCCTGCACTATCACAGTGCCAGCTTGATACAACATAGCAGTTTCAACAACATGAGGTATAAATTGGTCACAGCCATAATGAGAGAAAGAAAAGTCTGTAGCTATTATGCATGGCTGTTATCTCACTCCAGCCCAAAAAGAGCATGTACCTTGGACATGATATCTTCCAATTCACTTCTCGGCTTGTAAGTGCCATCATCATACCGGAATCTGTACATCACCTGCTCGTTCTTAAACTGGTGCTTATCTGAAACTGAAACATCAGCACAGTAATTAATAATCACTTTATTTCAACCCTGCTTGCCCTATACTGTGCCAGCGTGACATATCAGTAGATAAAGAATCACAGTGGGAATCTATTATTTCCTATGGCATCTCTAATATGAGGGCAGACTTTTCAGGTAAGCACATAGAATTACTGGGTATAAAAAGATTGCACACATGCATTTCTGAATGGCTTGGCCCAAAGGCACAGTCTTCCAAATTACTGCAACTTCAGTAAAACCAAAATATCCCACAAAATGCTATTCTCTAAATTCTTATTTTCAGTCTGTTTCAGTTATTTAGTGTTTTGCTCCACTGAAGTCAATGGGAATCTTTCCACTTATTTCAGTGAGTTTTGAGTCAGACACTTGCAGATTTAGTAATTCAACTGCAGACATCTTAGTTTTATGGCAGTCATTTTTGCAGCTGCCACTGGGGTATACAGCATTTTCAAAAGCAGCGAGTATTCTGGTGGGACACCAAGGTACTTGTTTTTAATAGTATGTTCATGCGATAACTGACTGAATTCAATGGTGCTCTCCAGAGACTTCTTTCTTTGCTAAGATGGCTAATTTTATAGCAGTGAGTGTAAGATATTATTGTGTTGTGCCACATTTTAATATAATAGTCAAAGAAAATATGCTTCACTGGGCAGGGGCGATGGATGAAACTTAGATCCAAATTATATAAGTTGATCTCATGTCTAAAATGCAACCTCTTTTTAGGGGGCATGTAGGAGAAAAGCTTTCATATTGAAGAGTAAATGCATAAACAAATACATGCACACAACAGCTCTAGTCCCACAGTCCAGGGTAAGTATTAAATCTCAAATTAACCAACAAAATAACTTGTGGATTTGTCAATATGAAGCACAGATCTGCAGCTGTTCCCAGGTTGGTTTCAGGGACACCTGCTTCAACCCAAGCAAGGAAGCAGGTGTAAAAGCCTAGAGAAAGACAAGAAAATAAAGAGCCAAAGGCAGTGAGGAAAGTTCAAGAAGGGGGGCTACTGGCTCTAGTTATCCTTGCCTTTTCTATATGGATATATATGCAGCCAGACCTACATGGTGGACCCCAGGTTTACTTTCTTGAGGCTCCATTGACTGGGCTGGTGACAGTTCCCAGCAAACAGATTTTTAAACAGATTAAGCTACTTGATACTGATTAAGTTTAGATAGTGTTTAGACAGCCTGTAAGAACGGCGACAGCAAAACACAATTAGCTTCACCCAGCTTAGTACCAGCATTTGGTATGAGCTGCGGGGTGGAGAGGCCCAATGTTTAGAAGATGGAACTTGCTCCCTTGTGGATATCTGGGGCTAAGAGTGATCTTGCCTAAACTCAGTGCAACCCTGGTCTCTGGGTGTCCTAGAAGTCAAAGGGTTGGCTTTGGTAGGATGGAACAGTTGTCAAAGAGGCTAAAAAGGGAAGCTTGCTCCATGATGCACAACACAAACACTTCTTATCCTTTCATATGTGAATGGACTTCTGAAGTCCTCTGTGATGGCTACTAGCTTCCCCTTCCCTTTGAGCATCTGCCCACTTCTGAATCTGAGATCTGCTGACAAATCCTTTTGATCCTGTGTGGCTAGAAAAGGAGTAGGACAGGGTTCTGATGAAACTCCTTTGGCTCTCTGCAGCAGATACAAGGCCAGCACTTCCACTTTCGCAGGCTCAGATAAAGGAGCCGAGATTAAAGAAGAGGAAACAACAGATAAGATGGAGAAAACTCAGCATTCCCACAGGTCAGAGCTCCACTATGGCTGCATTATGCTCTGCCAAGGCCATAACCAAGCAGGCCTGGAGATCAGCATTTCATTTCCCATGAGTAAGTGAATACTTCATGGCAAATGAACAGCAAAAGATAAGGCATGTTGCCTAATGTGAGGCAATACTGCATGCTTCAGTCTGAACCTCCTGCTAGATAAGGAGACAGATCATGGAGTGTTTTTCTCCTGTAATGGTTTGCCAGAAAAATCTCAAAGCCTTGAGGGATGCTTCTTCAACTGAAGCCAGATCTGCAAATGCTTTCTAGAGTTTGTTTGTTGTTAACAGGAGGCAGTGATGTTAAAATGTGCATGCAACATTTTAAAAACTCATAGGGCTCTGATCTTTCCTGAAGGTCCCTGGTGGACCTGAATAACTAATTATTTTGTCATAAGGGAAAGACTGGGTATTTGAGCACTTTTGAAAATCTGGTCCATTAATTTGGTGCCCGAATGGGAGCCAATTTCCTCTGAATTTGGCTGTAGGATGAGTGTACATGAATGAATGCATCTGTACCTGGGCAATGGAAATATATGCGTCTTGAGAACTGTTGGTGCTGCTGCTGCTTGTTGGCTTACAGCAAAGAAAAATGACAAGCACGCTTGCTTAACACTGTTATAATCGCCTGGAAGACATGCTTGTGGAGCTATAATACCAAGAGATTAAAGCAATACTAGTCTAATTAAATAGCCACCCTATTTAAATTGGATTGAGAGAGATTGCTGAGAAATGTGGCCGTCAGGCTTTAAACCATCAAAGAATAAAAAGCTTCTTTTATTTGATGTGCACCTTCCAGGCACATACACCTGAATGCTAGAAATAAGGCACCTGCTGTTTAAACTACATATGCCTGAGTTGCTCTGTCTGTTTTCTGAAATGAGAAAATAATGGAAAACAGCAGGAGAAATCTGGGTTTCAAAGGGCAGGATGGACAGGAAGACTTGCTACTTCACTACAAAAATGGGGAGTGGGCTAGGTTTCTAAACACCTAAGGTGTGCAGCAGCTCATACAACAGCTTGTGCAAAGTGGCCTAAGATTTTAATAATCTGCCCAAGACTTCAAGGAGAAAGCTTGTCCTCTGGGTTTAATCTCCCAAGTCACAGGATGCATTACTAAAGAGAGAAGTTGCTGGAAATTGAGCTACAAAGAACAAATCCTCTCCACGACTCCTTCCTCTAGGGCTGGAAATCTCACTGGCAGGAATGAGGGGGAAATGCTGCCTAACACCGAACACTCCTCAGTGCAGCTGCTGAGGATGAGCCTCATTTTTGAGAGAAAACTCTCAAATGTCTCTCTTCCCTAACTTCTGCAAGATCTTTTAAAGGCTGCTGAAGGAAGTGTGAAGAGATAAGCAGATAAGGGCCGGCTCAGTGTCTCCCTACCTACCTGCTCCCCCAGCCCGCTTGCCTGCCCCCTTCTACCCCACAAAGAGGCAAGCCCTGTAATAAATTAAGTTTTTTAAATAGGGTCCCACTCAATTCACACAAGTTATGGAGGGGTGCCTCAAGTCTGACAAGGGGTGTCTTAAGTCTAAAAAGGTTGAGAACCACTGCACTGTACTCTCCAGTACATAACATCTGGCTGTGGCACAGAGCACTCACCATGATGAATGATGCCATTTTCCAACAGTGCTTGTCCCAAGTTGACTCCTTCTTCTGGTTTGCTTATCTCCCCAATCTCCATTAGCCAGGATACAAACTCACTGCAGAGGGAAGTAGAGCAGCAGAAGTAATTAGCTTTCTCCCCCTGAAGGTGAGCTGTCACATGTCTCTACGCTGCATCATCCAAATACAGGTGACTCCCTTCCTGAAGCAACCATGACAGTTACTGTATAGGAAGAGGAATGATGATGCCTCTTTTGGATGGCTGGATTATCCACATTTCTCAACGCATGAAGTGCATTTCCTACAGGGAGTTACTCCCATTGTTCCCCTTAATTCACTATGGGCACATCTGCACATCACCCTACAGCGATGTAGTGATCACGTGGGCCTACACATGATCAACAGCTATACTGCTGTAGCAGCGCGCTCCCCCATTTTAGTGCACCACTACGGTAATGTAGCAGCTAAATCTAGCCATGCACCGTGCACGTGGCACAGTACGGGCAGTTACTGTGCCGTGCTTTAGTATTTCCAAAAGGAAGTACTAAAGCAGGGGTCAGCAACCCCCCGCATGCATGCCAAGCATGGTACGTGAGGCCATGTTGCTCGGCACGCCACGGCCAGCCCTGGCTCTGGGTAGCTGCTGGAGCCTGGACTGCTCCCAGCAGGGCTTGCAGCATCCCAGCTGCCTGCTGGGAGCAGCCTGGACTGCTGGCTGGCAGCAGCTACCCAGAGCCAGGGCCAGCTGCAGCTGGGAGGCTGCAAACAGCTGCACCAGGCTCTGGAGCCCAGACATCAGCTCCGTACCGGCATGTGCACCCACGCCTCGGAGGGGCCTGAGGCAGCGCAGCCCTGGTCTCTCCCTTGCTGCTGGCACAGAGCTGGTGACTGGGCTCTAGAGCCCGGCGCAGCTGTTTGTAGCTGGCCCCGGCTCTGGGTAGCTGCTGCCAGCCACAGAGCCTGGGCTCAGGGCAGGGTTGGGGGGCAATGGGCAGCAGGGTTTGGGGGCAGGGTAGGGGGCAAGGGGCACAAGCAGGGCATCCTGCCATGTACCCCTGCCCTCATTTTCGTTTTCTGGCATGCCGGCACTCTGGCACCTTCCAAGGTAGGCATTGTGGGGGTTTTCGGCACTCCGGCCAAAAAAATGTTGCCTACCCCTGTACTAAAGCATGGCACTGTAGCAATGTCGCCACATGGTGATGTGTAGACGTGCCCTATAAGTAGCAGATTCATGTAAGGAAAGATTGGATATAGCAGACATGTATTTGATGGTGTAAAATATGGGCTTAAATGGCATTACACCAAGCAAATGAAAGCATAGTCCCTCAGAGTTCTGGCAGAGCACAGTTAAAAGTCCCACTGACGGGTTAATTCAGTGTCACTATATTAAATCTGGTGCCTGGTTTATAAATAAGTGATTGTCAATCCCTTGTGCCCTACTAAAAGTTTATAGTAAAGGGGATGCTGGAGCACGCAGAGCTGCAAACAGGGATAGAGAAAAGACAGTGAACATGGCTAGATATGTAGTACGTTGACACAACTAGAAAGACAATACATGTAGAAAAACTAAACGTTGCCAGCCTGATGAATGGGACACTGCCAGTGCCCTGTCAGTTTAATTGGGGATCACACTAGAAATGTGTTAAGTTCATAGAAAAGAACAAACGAAATATTTGAAAGCAAAGCAACATATGGGAGATCTGAGCTCAATAAACCAGTTGGGCACCTGCCAATTTGTGTATGGTTGTTGCTTATCAAAACCAGCAACCAGGTCTACAATTATGGGCTTTGAGAGTAACATTTTTAGTATTTCTGAGTTTATCAGCAGGTGACTCCTCCCAACCTAGTGATGTTTGTGTTTTCCTTTGAGAACAACAGAAAGCTCCAACTTCTTAAGGGTCTACCATATAATTGAAATGGCAAACAAAAAGCAGCGAGACTGATTCAATACCCCAGTGTAATCTAATGGAAACCAACAGTTTGAAGAGCTCCTACCACCAGAGTAATGCAGTGATGAGTAAGGTGCAGCATTTGAGAAGGGGAAGACATGTGATGTCCCGGTGATTCTGAATCACTTTGAGAAGCCAGAATGGACAAGGAAATAAACTAACCAGAGGGACGAAGTGGGAATCAGATGTTTCTCACCCCTTCTACAGAATAGGAGGTGTTACATAATTGTCTGAAGTACACCCTATTTGAGACATACACACCAAGGAATACAATCACGATTAGACAAGAGACACCAGAGCGCTGTTGGCATCAATTGTCCATTGATTTCAGGGAAGCTATGACAATTTACACCAGCTGACAATTTGCACCCAGATCTGAATAGGATGCTATCACTCTTAGAGTTACTGCTTATTTCATTAGCAATTGCATCCTTGGACTTTGCTGGGATTGCTCAACTCAACACTGTTTTCATTAAATACAAAACCCCAAGTGCTGATGGAAAAAGAAATTGAATCCTTCACCCAACTACCTGAAATGCTTAGAAGTACAAGCTGCTTTTTTAAAGTACTACTTTGAGATCTCTATGGCATTTGGTTCACAAGTAAAATTAGTAAGTGTTCGCTCTCCCAGTTTAATAAACTCTGAGAAGTGTATGATCCAGAAATATTCCAACTCTTGCTACACAGATGCTGGACTGTTGCCAAAAAAGCATCTGCTCGAAGGCAGTTAGAGCCCTACAGGACCATCAAGCAGTTTACAGGATGATGGAATTTTAACTTCACCCATTTGTCGGGGAAAAGCATTCACATGGATTATCTTACTGAAATGTTTGTGGACATTAGGCAATTGCATGTGAAAGGGGCCAGCAGACAACTGAGTGACCACATGCACACACAATTACCGGTACTTGATTTCTGTACACGTCTCTAATGACTCTGGATGTGACTTAAGCCAGCAACTGAACTATGCATTAAATGTGACCTAAAATATTTTTAAGGAAAACTCTTTGAGCATCTAATTCAGTCTCATGCATCTGTATCTCAGCTCCTCACTGCCTTTCCTAGTGACTCTGACTGACAAGGAGTAGTACCAACTGGCTCAAAGAAAACACATGCTACCCTTCTTCACTTCTACTGGCTGAGGGAAGTGAAAAAGAAAAGTGAGTGTCCCATAGGTTTTACAAGCTGTTCAGAGTATTTGCCTCACCTACAGAAGTTACCTCACATACTCTGTCCTGAACACATCAGGGGTTAGATTTCCAACCCTAAGCTTTTACTTTTGCTTACACAAGTAAATTGAAATGTGTAAGCAATTTTACATATTCAAAAGCAGAGTCCACCAAGAGCCCTAGGGGAACATCTACTTTATGGTAGCAGAGTTCAGTGTCTACTATCATCATCGGCAGTCTCTCACAGTAGAGGATGACTGTCTTCCATGATTGTCTTATCTGTGGGTCTGAAGGTGGCTGATGAGGCCTATCCAGGATCAACAGACTCTGTTGCAGCACGGGTACAAGTTTCTGTGCAGGGTGGGCGGTCTGGGTTCCCGGTTTGATCTTCTACACGTTGTTTCTGCCGCTCCCGTTTTTCTGTCTCCTGTTGTCAGCTTAAGGTTTCAACGTACTGATATCCTTGCAACAGACTCTTCCTCCATTTGGGGCAGTCCTGGGCAATAGTCTCCCATGAGCTGATATCAATATTGCAACCTTGAGGACGTGCTTGAAGCATTTTCTCTGCCTTCCTCTTGAGCAGTGGTCACCAACCAGTGGATCTCGATCCACCAATAGATCTTGGAGCCTTTTGGCATCGATCCGAGGCTGGAGTAGGGGGCTGAATGCCCGTGTGCATTCGTGTCCACACCCCAGCCCAGCAGGTCAGTCCATGGGGGAGGGAAGAGGTGGGGCTAGATCAAGGCCCCCGCAGTGAGGGACAGTGCTGCAGAGGCAGGAGCAGGGGTAAGTTGAGTGGGGCCCCGGTCAGATGGGACCTACGTGCTGGGGTGGTGTACCCCCAAATATTTTTGTCCCTCTGCCTCGATCTGCCCCAACTTCCCTCCCCACAGACTTACCTGCAAGGTGCGGGGGAAGGGGAGAGGTTGGCAGTGGCGCACAGTAGATCTTGAGTTGCTTTTAAATCAAAGGTGATCTCCTACTTAAAAAGGTTGGAGACCACTGCTCTTGAGCATACGCCTTGACTGAGCTGGGAGAATAAAACTTGCTTCAGGAGTCTAGAGTCAGACATCCAGATGACATGGCTGGCCCAGCAAAGTTGATGTTGGATGATCATCACCTCAATGCTTGTGGTGTTTGCTTGCAAGAGGATGCTACTGTTGGTGCATCTGTCTACCCACTGGATTCAAAGGATCTTCTGCAGGCAGCACTGATGGTACTTCTCCAGTGACTTGAGGTATCTCTACCCTTGTATGTTGTCCAGGTCTCAGCTGGGTAGACAGATGCACCAACATTAGCATCTTCTGGCTGCATTGTCTTGGCCGACACTCATATGCACCACAAAAAACCCAAACCTGTAGGCACATTTTAATACGATTGGGGGCTGCTTCTTTTGAGAACCTAGGCTGGAACTGCTAGAGACTGTGTGCAGGTCATAAATGAAATGAATCATTCAGAAAAAGTCCAGAATGGAAAAGCAAGTTTACAGAGGGTGAGGACTGAAATGCAACGCATCCCTTGTATAGCTAGGTAAGGATTGTGGCATTGGTATGCTCTATGTTCTCAAGACCAGTCAAACTGGGGTCGTTGCCAGGCAGGATTGAGGGTAATGAGCAAAAGGGGACATGGAAAACTTAAGGACCAAAAGAAATATGTTAAAAAAGGAAGGGAATAACAAGAAATCTCCACCTGTGACTTTGGGAACTAAGCAAAATATGGGGGCATCAGCGAAAGACAAACTCATCCCAGTCTTTTCATCTGACCGTCTTCTGTTGTGCATAAACTGGAAAATACTATGACCTGGCTCACAGCCAGAGCCCAAAGCTTTCCATGTGAATCCACAAAAAAATAAAATAAAATAAAATCACCACAGGATCCAAGAACTCTTGCCATACCAGGAACAGCAGCGTGTCCTTTAAAGACTGCCTTCTGTCAGGCATGAAGATACTGCATCACTTCCACTCCAAGAACACTCGAGGCCAGATGCATGCAAACTGCCTGGGTCTAACGACTGTGGGCAGGAGGGAGGGGAAGTGACTGGATAATCTATCCCTCAGAATTGTTTTTTCCCGGCTGACCATTTTAATCATAGCTGAAGCAGAAAAGTCTCCTCGGGTCACCCAGCCCGACTCTCCATGAGCTGTGTATGGCATTTCTTTGTGACTCTCCATGAGCTGTGCGTGACATGATCCCGGCACGCATTCCTGCCCGGGGCAGGGGGCCGGACCTGATGATCTGTTTACGTCCCTTCCAACCCTAAGTACTATGATACTATGATTTCCCTAAAATAGTCCCACCAGTGTTTTACCTAATCTATTCTCAAATAACCCCATCCTGGCACTCTGGCCCCCTCCCCAGTGTCTCTCTTCCAAGGCTTAATCTCTGTCCCTGTTAATCATTTCCTAATGTCTAGCCTAAATATAAGAAACATTTTCTCATGCAGAAAAGTCCTTTTTATCATATACTTGTATCAAAGTGTTGAGGGCTCTTGTTCACTTCAGATTGTCTCCGTTGACGTCTCTGTCTTAGATTGCCTCTCTCTTCCACTGGAACAACACTACTGAGTTCATATATCAGCCATTAAGCATCCTCTTCTGAATAAAAGGGGAAACAGGTGGGCTATCAAAGCATTCAGCATTTGTAAGTTTAAATACTTTTCCTTATATCTGCCGTGGATCTGAAATACCTGTTCTGAATTATTCCACAATTGAACGAGCAGCCGTTGTACAACCCCGCAGGGCAATAAATAGGAATTAATAATGAATTTTAATAAATTGCAATTGTAATGGGGGTTATGACCTTTCCAATTAAGCCCCATCAAAGCACATTTGATCTGTCCTCGCAATACCATCTACTGAAAACTCACAGGCCCTTCTGTTAATTGGTATGAAAGGATCTTTTCAATCCAACCACCACTTACTTGCCAAGAAAGCACTTGGGAACAGTGCTTAATTTTCTCCTCCTGTCTTTGATAAGGTTCACTTTCTTGCTCATCATCTTGTGATACAGCTTCTCTCCTTTCTCTGCAATCATGACGTACGCATCCCTCTCCATTCCCAGTTTCAGACCTGGAATACAAAGGAGGAGTTCCCTCAACAAACCCAGTGCCAAGAGAGCTGAACCCATCCAGATGCAAAGTGGCAGCCACATGAAAAGTTAGGAGTTTACTGCATAGGCTACTTTCATGATCGTGGTTAATATGGGTCTTTTCCTGATCTCATTATATGCAACTCTCACTGGTGGCATACAGAAAAGCTTTCAGCCTTTTCTCATGTTTCCCATGGAGATCACCAACAAGCCCCGCATTTGTGGCTCTATGACTGACATTCTACAGAGCACAGTGGTAACAGACACATGCAAAACTTTGGGCAAGGTACAAATAAGATGCTTATCATTTCAAAATTCATTTGTTATTATGTCACCTTAGACACTGAAATTGCCTTCGTAAGCTTTGTCTGATGTGGCAGAAATCTTTTCAGAATGTGATGGCTGTGTTGAGTATTAATTCCTCAGCCTATCCCATTAATACACCATCTACAAATGACACTATGCTAACAGGCACACTTGGCTAACTATATCATGCGTGTCCACATGGAAATTTTTATTTTGTTCAAGAGAGGGTCATGGGAGATTTTAACCTCCCAGTTATCGGTTTCAATGTGTCCCAAATTAAATGTGACTGAAAGTTGCAATGGGTTTAAAAGAGCCTGTTTTTCTCATTCCAGCTCCTAAGGAATATGTATGAATATCCCCCAAACCACCATCATAAAGGCCAATTCCCTGGCACTCTTCATTCAGTATTTGAATGGGTCATGGAAAATGCCTTAAGTTCCTGTCCTCAGACATGAGGGTTAAGGGCCTTGGGTAAGAACCGTTGCATACTTGTTGACTGTGCAGGAACCTTTTCTAGAAAAGAACAAGATTATGCTTTCTAGTTATATTATTCTAGCACCTTTTATGAGTAATGGATATATTTATAGATTAAAACGATAGACCAAAAGCCTAGGTAGAGAATATTTTTAGCAATTTCCAGTGGATGAACAGTTTGCTTTTTGTATCTAGATCCCTTCAAGGGTGCTGCCGGGTGCCACAATGTTAGCAGTGTAAGGTATGCAAACAGGATTAATAAAATAAACTCAGTGATTCTAAATAGGAATTCAGAGTGTTAAAATATTATGACGTGAACTTTCTGAGTTCTCTGCAACAGAAGAATCAGTCCATTCTTTATCTGTGGTCAAAAAATGAGTGAAAACTGAAAGCTGGCATCTTCCGAGTGGTACACTGAGCGTAAGGAGGGGTGCCTTGAATCTGTGAGAACCACAGATCTAAACTTACAGTATGTCTGAAGAAGTACAGCTGAAAAGAATGCACAGCCTTCAAGGCCATCAAATACTAAAACAGCTGCCTCAGTTTTTGGACAGTGTTTAATGTGTTTATTCCCAGGGATCCCGGTTTTCCTTGATAAAAAATTGCAAATTCTCTGATCAAAAAAATCGCAAATTCTCTGATAACGCCCCCCGTTCCCCTCCCAAATCTGTGATAGATAGATAGATAAATTTTAGTAGGGATGCACTGATAGAAATTTTGGGGGCCGATACAGATAGGCAATTTTTAAGGAGGCATATTGGCCAATACCGATCCGATTTCCAATACAGCTGCATGCAGCTGGTAAGTCTATTGTGGTGAAAGGGGAGGAGGGAGGGAAGGGGCATGGGGGTGCACATCAACGCCCACCCCCATGGTGAGGGAGGGAGTGGGGCTGGGGTAGGTGTTGCCCAGCTGGAGAGGGGCAAACACAGGACGGAGACGCAGCTCACCCGGGGGGCGGCTCCTGATGTTGCTTGCACTACTCGAGCACTGGGCGGGGGGGCCCTGGATCTGTGCTGGATGGGTCAGGCAGGCTGCAGCGCTGCACTTGGGGTGAGAGGGGGCAGCGCTGGGAGGGGGGCTATGGGGGGGCTGCAGCCACCCCAAATTTGGCCGTAGCCCCCCCATAGCCCCCTCCCAGTGCTACCCACCCCAAGCACAGCGCAGTGTGGTCCTCAGCTCCAGCCTGCAGCTGCAGTCTGCCCCACGCAGATCTGGGGACACCCCCCACCTCCACCCCGTGCCCTCCCAGACAAGCAGCAGAAGCACAGCGGCAGAATCCACCCTCCCCGTGCCCCCCAGATGAGCCATGGCTCCTTCCCGCTCCTGCCCCACCCCAGCTGTGCAAAGCCTACCCCAGCCCCACTCCCTGCACCTCCCCAGCTTGGCAATTGGCCACAGGGGGACCCTGG